CTCACACACCTTATTTGAGCATCCAGTGGAGTCTGATCTTTCTTTGGTCACCGTGAGTGATCCCAACAGTGTTTTGGTTCTAAATGGGTTTCTGGGTCTGCACCCTAAATACTGTCAGCATGATTCTCCCGTTTGCAGTTATAATTGTTAATGAATGGCTTTTTCTTGGAAGTGGAATGGTGTGAAACAGGCACTCTACTCTCACTGGGATGTCAAATCTTTGATTATTTTTTTAACTGTTTTACTAATGTATACGTTTGTATTACTTTTGTTTCCTAACCTCTATGGAATGATCTTTGGTCTTTATTTTCCTTCAGAACCAGAAACTGATTTATGATCCTTTAACATTGAGTTTTTTTTTATCTTGGACATTAGGCAACATATCAGTTCACAGTTAAATGAGGCCTACATTACAATAATGACTCCGTTATTAGGACAATATCTTTCATCTGTGAAATGGGAGCTTCCTCAATTTAGGACTTGGATATGTATGCAGGCTTTTATATACAAGTTTAAATATAGTCACCAATTGATCTGATTTCTTTTATTTTTTATCTGTGTGGAGATGACTTCTTGATCCAAGGATAAATCTGAATGCCATTCTGGGGTCAAGAAGGATTTTTTTTCCTCGCTTGTTGCAAAATTAGAAGTGCTTCAAACTGGGTTTTTTGCCTTCTTTTGGATCAATGGCAAAAAAACAAATGTGAGGAAGGCTGAACTTGATGGACGCAAGTCTCTTTTCAGCTATGTAACTATGTAACATTACTATTTTTTGTAAAGAGACCATTGCGGAGAACGTGATGTCAGCAGCCACTCAGAACCCAAGCTTCAAACAGATGCGGCGTTTAACCCATCAGTCCAGGGCCTATTTGAACTTCCTTACAGTGCAAATAGAAGATAAGATTAGCAATACATTTAATTCTGTTTTAACTTTAAAAACAGCAGATTTTGTATTGAATTATGAATTGTCAAACAGGCAGCTTGTAATACACAATTTGATTGTACAAATACATTTCCAGATGACAAAACCACTTTAAAATATTATACAGAACAGTCTGTAAGTCAGTGAAACAAGAGAGTTGATGAGGGTTTAGAAAAGTAAAAGGCCTGCTTGTAGTTCTGATACAATCTCTCACAGGCTCCTAATACTTCTTCATATTGACAGTATGAGTATGTTTGAAAAGGCTCTCACACAACTGCAGAATCCCAAAAAAAAAAAAAAGGCACAGCACACATTGATACATGTTACAAAAACAAATACTCTCTGAATGAATAGATAACCTAGCTTCTCTGGTTATTTTCCCAAGAACAAATCTTTGTTCACATGAATTACAATCTAAATAACCAGCAGGAAATGAATGTACTGTATTTTCTTATTGTTTAGATTTGTTTATTTCCTGAGCTGGAAAACAAAGAAATGCAGCAGGGGTTCTGCTTACAGTTTAACATATGTTTTCCATGGAGATGTGCTTACTTAAGCCACAGCACTTCAGATCCATTGAGATATATTTTGTTTTATGATATTGTAGTAACATAGATCAGCTGTGATTTTCAATAGACGGTCTGTGCATGTAATATGCATTCAGGCATTAAAGACATAATGTCATAAACAAACACTGATTTTGTTTGCAACATCTTAAACTTGTGGCATTGAACAGAATAGTGCGTTGTGATTTTTTTTTTTTTTTATACCGTTATTTACATAATTCCTGTTTCCCTATTTTTCTTAACTTGGTGTGCAGTGTTTCTGGGATATTCATATTTTAACAAATAACAGAAAGATCTCTGGTACAGTTTCTCTGTGTTTCTGAAACTACAGGAAGACATTGACAGAGTGCCATAAGAGTCATAGCTTCTACAGTAAGGGTGCTTAAAATACATTTTGCTGGGATTTAGAATGGCAAACCTTTATTGCTGTAGTTCTAAACATCTAGGAATCACCCATTTTGGGAACAGCTCTTAAAATTTGAAGTCATATGCTACTAGCCAGCACCTAAAAATGACTCTTCCCTGCAAGCATGAAGAGTCCATGGAATACTCATCAGGGGTGCATTTTTACTCGCTAGTGGAAATTTGAGCCGTGCTGTTGTTGTAGTGTCTTTGAATGCCACCCCCCCATATTTTATGACAATCTATTTTTAAGTGGTTAGACAAAAACTGTGTGTTTGCAAGCACCCAAAGTCTGGACCTCTGCTGCTTAGATAATGTCAGCGTTACGAATTATCCGTACAAAGCCAACATTTATTATCGGCTGGCTAAAGTAGTGAAAATGTCACTGCCTCAGAACTGGGAAACTCACGTTTAGATCACGGTCTGACCACTGTACAAGTATATATCTGCCTACCTGAAATTCTCATAGAATGCAAACTTTTTTCACCCCTGTTCAGCTACTTCACCTCTCAGATATTCTATCCAATTCCAATTTAAATATAATAAGCTTTGGAGTACACAGTTAGACTGCAGTCAGTATTTCCATTGAAAATGCTGCATTGAAGCATTACAGACTGGACAATGAAGTAAACCATGGTTTGCTTCATGACTGTAAATAAGTATTTGTAATTGTTGTAGGTTATTCAGTTTCCCAGGTTTAGCCTCAGCGGTGCCATAGTATTGTCCAATACTTCCTTTGCTTTAGTTTGTTTGACCTGGTGATTGCAACAAAATTAAAATTGTTACTCTCACCAATTTATGTTGACGTTTAACTTTAAACTGAAATTGAAAGTATAAATAAAAACTAGCTTTAAAGTATTTGAGTGAGTATAGATCACAGTACTCAGTGTGACAATATTTACCTTGAATACCAATATACGAAAATGTTATGCATTTACTGAGTCACATTTAAGATTAACTGGAGATCAAATGTATCTATGTATCAAAGGGAATATCTAAATGATTTAATGTAAGGTATTTCTTATGTATTGCTACCAATTTAGTTCTTTACAGGAATGCTATAGTGTTAGCATTACAAACATGTATTCCTAACACTATAGGTTCCCAATTCCCCTCAGATTGCATTTTAAATATTTTCTCCATTGCTGTGGGTAGCCCTGCCTCCATGGCTGAGATTATCAGTCTTGATGGTCCCAACCAATCCAATGCTTTCCCACTGCAGCACTGACACAGGAAGCACCTTTAGAGGCCGTCTGAGTGACTGCCACAAGAGGTGTTACTAGGCAGCAATGTAAACACTGCATTGAGAAGCCTGCATGGACATGATATAGACATCAGAACCACTATATTGGTTCTGGTGGCTGAAGTGTCTCTTTAAACAAAATAAAATAATGCGATGAGTATGCACTGGAATATCCCTATGATAAAATTTGAGTTTAAGTTGGATTAGTGAAAGCAGATTGTCTACCTGTCAATCTTACTGCTTAGCAGAATGTCTAAAGCTGGCATCAATGGACAAGCTGCGATTATAGGAGCAGATGTACTTGTAATCACTGGCCATTGTATAGTGGTTAACCTCCATATTTAAAAGACATATGGGAATATCCAATAAAGCTCACATATCCACTTTCCACTTTTCTGCTTTTTAAACAAATATGTCAGTGCCATACCATGTGTTGAGCGACAAAAATCTTTCTTGCAGAGAAAGTAGCGGGTAGTAAGTAAAGTTAGTTTGAACACAGTTGCCACAAACATATTTCAACTATCGCTTGACATGTATCATCATTATTATGCTTTTTTTTTTATATATAGCATTCATATTTTATTCAGCATTAACATTAAATGATTACATTTCTTTTTTGTTGTAATACATATTGAAGTGTTCTATCAAACTAAGTAAAGAAAATGCCTTGTTATCCTGGTACCCAATAATTAATTGTGCTCCGATATGGCACGATATTGTCACATGATGTGACACTGTGCATCATTCTGGTGTCATCTATGGCACGGAACGCTCAACTTAAAGTGTTCTGGAGTCCTGTGTTCTGGAGTCATTTTATGACGCTGACTCATGAAGGTCCTCCGTAGGCTTTTTAAACGATTACCTCATACCTGTCTTTGCCCTGTTGTGTTTTTTTTTGATACTCAGGAGTACGTTACATTTTATTGATTTATCTGATTTTTTACTTTGGCTTGGATTTGACTCCTCTGATTCATTACTCTTGACCTTGGCCCGTCTTACTTTTTTCTTGCTTTTATATTACTCTGTTGATCTCTGCCTGTTTACATTTTCTCTTTGCCTTTTTGTAAGCTGTTTTGCCTATCTAAACCTCTGTCCAGATTGGCATACACTTCTTTCCTAACCATGTCTCGTTTTTTGACCATGTCTGCTTGTCAGGGTCATATCTAAACCTGTCTTATTTCTATCAAAAATATAATTAAAACTTTAAGAAAGCATATAATTTACATTGTTATTAAGCTACCTTCCATTTCTTCTTCCCACACTTCACTTACACCCTTTCCTTCAAATAAGGCATATAGTGCTCATTGATCTTATTTTATTGTAAATTTACCTTGCAGCCATTGTCCATACTATACATACCGTGTATAAGTTAATCTCATGTATAAGTCAAGTGCAGTTTTGTGACCAACAATTGTGAAATATGCTATGCCTCGTGGATAAGTCGAGGGTAAAGCTTGGGGCTATGAAATTCTGTGATTTTTATAATTATATACACACACTCTGCATTATATACACACACACTCATACAAACACACACTCTGCATTATATACACACACACTCATACACACACACACTCTGCATTATATATACACACACACTCATAAACACACACTCTGCATTATATACACACACACTCATACAAACACACACTCTGCATTATATACACACACACTCAAACAAACACACACTCTGCATTATATACACACACACTCATACAAACACACACTCTGCATTATATACACACACACTCATACAAACACACACTCTGCATTATATACACACACACTCATACAAACACACACTCTGCATTATATATACACACACACTCATAAACACACACTCTGCACACACACACTCATAACACACACTCTGCATTATATACACACACACACACACATATATATATATATATATATATATATATATATAATGCAGTATGTGTGTTTGTGTGAATGCAGAGTGTGTGTTTGTATGAGTGTGTGTGTGTGTAGTGTGTGTGTAGTGTGTGTGAACTGGGTGGGGGGAGGGCATTTTTATTATTTAAAAAAAAAATTGTAATTTTTTTTTTTTTTTATTTTAATATTATTTTTTTTAATTATTTTATTATTTTTTTTTTTTGTTCCCCCTCCCTGCTTGTTACCTGGTCAGGGAGGGGGGCTATCTTAATTCTTGGTGGTCCAGTGGATGGGCTGTGCAGTGGGGGGGCTGGCAGGAAGCAATTACTTACCTTTCCGTCAGCTCCCTTCTCTTCAGCTCCGTTCACCTCCACTGTAAATCTTGCAGTCTGCGTGCTGCGCGGAGCGTTGCCACAGTAACCCGTGGCAACGCTCTGATGCCGCGGCTCTCGTGAGACTTACAGTGGAGGTGAACGGAGCTGACAGGAGCTGCAGGAAAGGTAAGTAAACGCTTCCTGACGGCCCCAACAGGACCGCCGGGCTTGTAATGAGCCCAGTGGTCCTGGTCTGTATTATGGCAATGTAAGTTGCCATAATACAGACCTTGACTCAAGTATAAGTCGAGTGCTGAAAAACTCGACTTATACTCGTGTATATACGGTATTATATATATATTGTACAGCCATATTGGAATATGTTGAAGCTTTTTAAAGCAGTGTATTATTTAATAATGTGTTGCTGTAGAAAAGTGGATTCCTTTCTTACAGTTGCATTATAGTACTTTGCAATTTATGTTACAGTATACTTTATTACAATTAGTTCTATTTTATTTGTTATACTTTGTTTTTACTAGATTTCTAAGGATATCCATCTGCATAACACCAGAAACCCATGTATACATGTGGAAATTTCCCTTACTCGGCATTAATAAAAAACATCATAACTCTATGTTTTATAAGAGTTTCTTATTCTTTTAAAGTGACACTATAGTCACCAGAACAACTACAGCTTAATGTAGTTGTTCTGGTAAATGCAATAGTTCCCTTCAGGCTTTTTTCATGCAAACACTGCCTTTTCAGAGAAAAGGCAGTGTTTACATTGCCTCTAGGGACACCTCCAAGTGGCCACTCCTTAGATGGCCACTGGAGTTGCTTCCTGGGTCAGTGCTGCCGAAAAAACAGGCCTGACATTCAATGTACCCACGCTCTGCATGGAGACGCTGCATTTTCCTCACAGAGATGCATTGATTCACTGCATCTCTATGAGGAGGTCCTGATTGGCCAATATGGCATTTAGCCCTGCCCCGTGCCGATTTTATCCAATCCCATGGGAAAGCATTGGACTGGCTAAAAATCGGCCATTTTGATGATGTCACAAAGAGGGCTATAAGGTGGAAATCAGGTGAGTTTTAAACTTTTATAGGAGGTGTAAGGGAACCTGGTATATCCAATACCCATTTGGTAATTTCCTTCCGAACAGCCAGAGTAGCAGTGAATTATAACTCTCCGTTCGACGAAATAAAATAAGCGATTCCCATACGAATAACAGCTTCCCAAGTAGATTCCCTTAGTAAAGCTGACAGGTACCCAAACATCAGCCAAAGTTTAGATGAAGGGTATAACAGAACTGAAGTTTAATGATGACACACTGGCTTTTATGCAAGTCCCCGTGCAAGGGGACCTCCCACAGGAACATAAATCATACAGCCAATCATAAACAGAGAAATAGTTAAACACTCCCAGTACAAACATATAATTCTCTCCCCTCGACCTGGAGATAATTAAGGCTGATAAAGTACTAACTTCATTATCTCCAGGCAGAAAAATCACAATTTTACTCAACTTTTAGAACACCCCTTAAAGTATCCCCACAAAAGTCACATCCTCTGATGGCCCTTATCTGAGTGACCAACATATCCAAAAATCACCGAGATCTGTTCAGGGGTTTTCAAATTTTATGGAAGTCTTAGGTGACCGGCTATCCACGAGGCTCCTGCCCAAAACAGTTCCACATGTTTTGGTGGTTTTGCCGGTCCAGTTTGTAAAGTCACAAAAACCGACTAAATCCACAAATGGTTTCCTCTGGCTCCTAGCAGCGATTGTTCCCCTCATTCGAATGAACAAAAGTACCGAACAGCGCTCTCATAGCGGTCCGGGAAATGAAGATCCAGCGTTTGTATGTTGGGACCAGTGTTTGGAAAGTCGAGTGTTCACTTTTAGTTCCAGACACTCGACGACCAAGTCCCACTGCCTTTGTTCGCACGTGGCGTTTGACAATACGAACGGTGGCCGCACAGGAAGAGAGCTTAAATGAGGGTTCGCTTTGTTAATGAGCCAGGGGAGTGGTCTCTGTTTGGTAGATACAGCTACCGAATGGAATAAAATGAAATAGACAAAATAACTTCACAGGGGGGCTAAGGGAGGGCAAGCCACCTAAGTGGTGGGTTAAACACTATAGGGTCAGGAATACATGTTTGTGTTCCTGACCCTATAGTGTTCCTTTAAGATTATGAGTTTGACAGTTTCATGGAAGGCACATTAAACTGAAATTTAATAGGAACACAAAGTCTTCCCTGAGGTGACATCCTTCTCCCTTGTGCACATATGACCTCAGTAATGACATATGTTACAGATGTTTTGAAAGTTTGTTTTGTCTGTTCTTGTCTGATTTGTTGCCAATAAGACCAAATGGCTGGACACCCAGTATATCTTATAATTTCTACCACTTTCATAAAAACTCCCTATTCCCTGAAGGACTTACATTGTGACTAATATCACATATGTCCTATAAGTTTCCATGCCAATATACCACGGACAAGTTGCAAATCTAGAAATAGCATACACTTAACTCCACAACTGACTGTTGTTGTACAAACATATCCGGAGCAATTCAGTACAGGAACTCCTGAGACTCATTTTCTCCTTTTTGTATTATAGTTCTGGAGGCCGGATGAAGCTATTTAGTAATTATTCAGTCAAAAAAAATTGGTTCAATTAACATGAAGGTCAAAATGTAACACAAATATTTATTTGCAGTGATCCACAGAAGTACCATTCCCCTTTTGATAAACTATTTTCTTTATTATAGATGGTTTTGCTGTAGGCTAGAACTGTTATTAGGGCAATTAAGAGGATACACGTTGTAAAGTGTCACATTGAAATAACAATGACCTTGGGTACACAGCAAGACTATTGTGTCAAGCCAGCTGCAAAAGAGGCCACACACACTACTTTGCAAAGGGTCACTGAGTCCCTCCCAACAAAACCACTGCCACCTATGCAAACAACGTTTGTGAGGCAATAGTTTATTTCTTTATCTTGGTATACCAGACGTCATTTGTCCTAGTACAAAACCATGTACTACATGTGATCTGCTCAGTTGTGCAGGAATACAACCATTTTGTCCAGAATTGTCAATTTAAGCAACAGCACATGGGTTCTTAATAAGAACACAGTATTCAGTTAAAAGTCAGGATTTTCACAGCTATGCGTGATATAGAGCATTCACATTGACAGATACTCAGAGGAAATATTGAAAGTTGATCTTTTCTTTTTCCTCGGAACTGTGTGCACCAATCACACTATTTTGTTTTCCTTATTTGCTTATTTTTGTTACCAGAATATGCTGTAAATTGACTAGAGTTTGCATATTTCAATAATAGTGTTTTTTTTTTTTTTACTTGCAAAGGCGTTAGTATGGTTTAGTCCACTGATTTTCCAAGTTTTTAGGTATCTGTGGGATTTAATTGTTAGATTTCAATGATTACATTCCATAGATTTGTTATGCGCAGTGTTAAAATATGACACAATTTTGGTATTTATAAGGCACTTTTTCAGTATATACTTTTCCTTCTAAACATTACATAAAATGAACATAACCATAGATATAAGCATTTCCTTCCTCAAATAAGATAACCTATGGTGCACATCTTCAGAATAATTGTGTCACAATGGTGTGTAGCATTGATATTAATAGAGAACGATAGCGGACAATACTGAGCTAATTAAAGGTAAAGTCGAAGAGTTCATGTAAAGTTCGACTTGTTTCTCCAAGACAATTTTAAATGGTTGTCAATATGTAGGGGAAGACAAATCATACGTTGGTAAGATCCCTAATAATAGACAATGTGTAGTAGGTTTAACAAGGTACCTGGAGAGAGAGTAACGCACACTTAATTAGCTAAACAAGTATCTGTCAATAGGTCTTTGTTCTGTTATTTATGCAGACAGTCCTTTCGTTGTTTTTAAATGATATACATTGACTCTTTCTACACAAAGGAGAAGAAGTACAATTAACAATAACTGGTGAAAAAGTATCCTTACACAAGTGTAATACATTTGAAAGAGAATGCTGTAGACTAAATGTGTTATTGCTTTATTCTACCTCTTAGCAGGCTTATTCTCAAAACTAGTTCAAATATTAGGCGATAATGACTGGTATAAAAAAAAAAGTCCAGTTTAGCTATTTAAAGGGATCCTATATTGTCAGGAAAGACATTTTCCTGGCACTATAGCTTTCTATCCTGTGGGGCTGAAAGGGTTAAAAAACGGGGCTGAGTTTGCATCTGCTTACTAATGCCGCTGGAGCTTATCTTTACGGGAAACTCCAGGCGCTGTAACTGCTTAATCTCATTGAAGTGGCTATAGTGCCCAGAGTCCCCCTCGTGCCTGTGCTAAACGATAGCAGATTTTGGCAGCAGCGATTGCTCCCAGCCTGTCACAGCCCATCATTGCCTGTATGCAAAAGGCAGCGTTTACAGTGAAAACTCTGCAGGCACCGGCCATAGACACCAGAACAACTACATTAAGCTGTAGTGGTTCTGGTTACTATAATTCTTTTAAGAATTGCATTTTTCTTGTTGAAAATTCAACTTTGTTAGTTTTTAAATAAACTGGCTAATAACCTTTTTTTTAGCTGTCTCCTAGATTCCCAACAGATTTGTCAAGCCTTTCTACAAACACTCCAGTGAGATATTTATAGTGTCGCTTTAACCCCTTAAGGACACAACTTCTGGAATAAAAGGGAATCATGACGGAATATTTCCGTCATGTGTCCTTAAGGGGTTA